ATGCAATTATTTGTCAATTCTGCCCATTTCCTGACTCACTGCTGCCTGTGTGTGGCAAGAAATGGGTCATTGCAGTTCCCAGCCTCCCTCCAGGCCGGGTAGAGGTCTCTGGGACCACTGCTCAGTCACCATGAGGCACCCCCTTTATTCTGAAGGTGTTTGAGAATGTTATTCAAGGCTGTTCCCCTGACCAACTGGTGGGAAAGGAAGGATCAGCCTTGGCAACACCTGTGGTTGCATGTTTCCAGGCACTGGATCTGACTCAGTAAGAATCATCAGTGGTGATATGGTTCAGAACTTCCTCCCTGCTCCTCCCCTCTCCCCCACCCCCAGGTCCCCAGCTTCTTCACTCTCCCTCTGGCTCGGGCCTTTGCCAGATTAGTTCTTGGCTTTTATTTTTAAGAGGCTGGAAGGGAGTTTGTGGGGGTAGGTAGGTTGAGATCCCAGGGGTGACTTTAGGGGAAAATGTGGAGCCCTTTGTGATATGTGGGGGCAATGGATGGGAGGAGGAAGAAAGGGGAAACATTGAGAAGTATGTTGACACAGTCATCTTGAAGAATCTGGTCACTGGAAAAGTTGACCATTCCAGTTCTTGGAATTTACCCTGGGGACATTCTCATCCATGTGCACCTGGAGATAAGTCCAGCAGCGTCCACTGAAGCTCTGTCTATAGTTACAAAAAGTTGGCTCTGCTCTAAACATCTATCAGTGAGTGGGAGGAAAAATAACTAGTGCTATTATATAAGGAGTACACCGCAGACCAGCCGGGGGAACTAGAGGCCAGTAACGCAGTATGTAGTCCTCAACGTGACAGTAAATGAAAGATGCAAGTTGGAGATCAATCCATGTAGCACAAGGCCTTGCACAGAATTTTTTAAATGCATGTGCTGCTCTCTTAATTGCTAACAGATTTTTTTGTTTGTATCTTTGGTTGGTTGGATTTTTTTTTTTAAAGAAAACTTTCTTATTTTATATGTATGGGTTTTTTTTTGCCTACATTATGTAAGTGCATCACCTGTGTGCAATGCCCACAGAAGCCAGAAGAGGTTGTCTGATCCCCCAGAATTGGAGTTAACTATCATGTGATTGTTGGGAATTGAACCTCCAGTCCTCTGCAAAAGCAGCCAGTAATCTTAGCCCCTGAGCTATCTCTCCAGCCCTTGTTGGTTGGATTTGAGGCAGAGTCTTACTATGTACCCCAGGCTGTCTTTAAATTCCTGATCCTCCTGTCTTTGCCTCTCAAGTTCTGTGATTATAGGCCTGTGCCACTATACCCAACCTCTACATGTATTTTTAAAAAGTAAGATTGGATCTGGGTGAGGTGGCACATGCTGTTAGCGCCAGTACTTAGGAGGCAGAAGCAGGTGGATCTCTGTGAGCTCAAGGCCAACCTGGTCTACATAGTGAGTTCCAGCCAGCTGGGGCAACAGGGAGTTCCTGTCTCAAAAAGACTAGAACAAAACACAAAACTAAGGCTGGAGAGATGACTTAGTAAAGTGCTTGCCATGCAAGCAAGAGTTCCCCAGTCCCCACGTAAAAAGCTGGTGTGGTGGTGTGTGTTTGTAATCCCAGTGCTGGAAAGGCAGAAATACATCCCAGGGGCTCCCTGGCCAGCCAGCCTAGTCTAATCAGTGAGCCCCAGGTCCCAGTGAGAGATAGAGATCTTATCTCAAAAAACAAGGTGGATGCTACCTAAGACACAACACTCAAGATTGACTTCTGGCCTCTACACATATGCACACTCACGTGCACACACACGTGCACAAACATGTTTGCACACGTGCATGAACATCAATCCAGGTATAAAAAAAAGATGAAGAAGAAAAAACCAAACATTGCAATGTATTGTTTGTGGATATTTAAGCACGTGATAAAAAAAATCTAACAGCCTAGAGGGGAAGAAGGAACCACAAGGTCACTTTGTCAGCCAGGATAATTCACGCCCAATGACATCCAGCACCTCAGTGGCTTGTGACAACACAATTTATTTATTAGTTGTACTACATATCCCTGAGGGCTTGGCAGATGCTCTGTTCTATGTCTCCTCACTCTGGGACCAAGCTGACCAACAACTGTCAGCTGCCAGGGCAGAAGAAATGAGAGCTGGACAAGTCGCTCTGCATCTCCAAGCTTGATGCAAACCAAGGCAAAATATGTGGCCAAAGCCATTTAAGGGGGGCAAACAAGAGCTAGTATGTGCCCTAAATGCGGAGCAGCAACAGGTGGTAGACAACCCCCATCTGGGCAAGGTGATGACTCCTGGAAAGAGTACCACAGAGCCTCCAACTTAATCACCGTAACTGTAGCTGTGTGTGTGTGTATGTGTTCTGTATGAGTGTGATCATGTGTATGCCATGACACACATGTGGAGGTCAGAGGATGCTGCCAGGTGTTGGTCCTCACATTCCCACTTCTGTTTGTTTGTTTTTTGAGACAGGGTCTCACTATGTAATTCTGGATGGTCTAGAAGTCACTCCGTAGACCAGGCTGGCCTTGATCTCATAGAGATCCACCTGCCTCTGCCTCCTAAGTGCTGAGATTAAAGGCATCCATTACCAGGTCCTGCTTTCCACCTTGTTTTGAGACAGTCTCTTGTTTGCTGCTATATACACCAGACTAGCTGGCCCATGAGCTTCCTGAAATTTTTCTGTCTCCCCTTCCCATCATCTGATAGAGCACGCTGGGATTACAAACACATATGCTGCTGGGCATGGTGGCACATGCCTTTAATCTCAACACTTGAGAGACAGAGGCAGATGGATCTCTGTGAGTTCGAGGCCAGCCTGGTCTACATAGTTCCAGGTCAGCTGGGGCTTTAGGGAGACCCTATCTCAGAAAAGACCAAAACAAACAAACAAACAAACAAACAAACATGTGTGCTATTGCATCTAGCTGTTATATGGGTTCTGGGGATCTGAATCCAGTTCCTGATGTTGCACAGCAAGAGCTTTACCCACTGAGCCTTCTCCCTTCTTCTGTAGCTATTTATTTATTTATTTATTTATTTAAATCTGAGACAAAATCTCACCATGACTGGCCAGTTCACATCTGGCTAGCCTGGAACTCTCTGTATAGATCAGGCTGGACACAAACTCACAGATCCACCTGCCCCTGCCTCCAAGTGCTGGGATTAAACATGTGCACCATCATGTCCAGCTCCAACTTTTATCTTAAAATAGGAAATAGAACTTTTAGAGGAGGCCACAGTACTAATACTAAAAACTATATACACATGCCTGCTGGACTAAGGTCCTCTCACAGGGTTCAGAGGAAAGCACATGCCATCCCACTGTTTTCATGTGCTGAGTTGTTGATGCTCTTGTCTCCACAGCAGGGCTCTTCTAGGCTTCCAGAGCTTGCTGGTCGGCAGCCTTGTATGCATCCCTCCCTGCATGAGCTCCTGCATGTGTCTATCTCACCCCACTACTGCCAGCTCACTCTCTCTGAGGTGCTCTGACTCACCTCTGTGAGTATGCCTAGCTGTGAACCTGCCACAGGCAGGCTGCTGGTCAGTATCATGGATGAACCTGATTCCTCATTTCTCTTTAAATATTGAGCCAGTTCAGAGGTGGAAACCATGTCATCCTCCTGCTCTGAGGCCTCCTCTGGAACAAGGAATGAATGGTTGTTGAGTGAATGAATGATCACAGCCCTTCTCCTGTGGCCCATCGATACATAGAAAACTTGTGCTTTCTTCCTTTCTCATGATTCTCTGCAGGATCAGTTTTTCTGCAGATTTCATGATGTGCTCTCTCTCTCTCTCTCTCTCTCTCTCTCTCTCTGTGTGTGTGTGTGTGTGTGTGTGTATGAGTGTATGAGTGTATTGCCTGCATGTATGTAGATGCGCCCATGTCATGCAGTGCCTGTGGATGTCAGAAGAGGGGGTCAGATCCCCTGGAACTGGAGTTATGGATGGTTGTTAGTTGCCATGTGGGTGCTGGGAACAGAACCTGGGTCCTCTGCAAGAATAGCCAGTGTTCTTAATGGCTGAGCCATTATGATGTTTTTATACCTACACTGAAAATCCATCAATTGTGTGTGTAACCATCTGACCATATCCCATCTTTATGTGTTACCACTAAAGTGACAAATTTTCTAGGTTTCCCGGGACTTCCTCAGTTTTGGCACCCAAAATCCTATGTCCTAGGAAAGCTGGTCACCCCATAGCAGCTCCCTTCTCTTTTCCTCATTCTTTTCCTGTCATCATCTGAGAGGGCTAGCTCTGGCCTCAACTCTGCTAGACCCAAGATCCTCACAAATGAGTCAGAGGGTGAGAGGTAAGTCAATGAAGGCAGAAAGAGTCAGCTTGGGACTTTCTAAAAGATCTTTATTCTTTATAGGGTTTCTAAAAGATCTTTATTCTTTATAGGGGATGCAGGGTTGACACTGCCAGGTAGAATTTGGTTTTAGTGACTTGCTATGACCTGGAAAAAAAAAAAAGCAGAGGGTTGGGGGAGGACCGAATAGTTTAGTTAGGAACCTGGAATTCTGAAGTTGGAGGGGAACTGGGCTCAAGTGGGAATGGCCTAGCCCTGTCACTCATTCTCTGTGTGTCCTTGGGAGAGTGACATGACCTCTCTGAGCTTTAGTTTCCTCATCTCCATAGGAGGGGTAATGGTACTTCATGGGATTCTAGATTGCAGTATTAGCTAAGGCTCTTAGCACAGTGAACTGACAAATCACAGCCAGTACTGCTATCTGGAAGTACAGCAATCCTCTTGAGCCACTTGTACCCTCACTGGAGCCCAAGTGCACCATCATCAATCTCCCCACCCTTTTATTGTCCATTTTCTCATCTGGCTCCCACCAGGTAGCCAGAGATGTGGTCTGACGCATCTCTCTATGGAATGTGGGACATGGAGGCACCTCAGCAGCTTTTGGATTCAGGAAGTGCAGCTGAGGTTCAAAGGAAATATCCCTAAGCCCTCCCAAATGTCCTCAAGGGCCCTGTCCTGGCTCCCAGGAGCCACACACCTTCCTCAAAGTCTGGAGACTTTCCTTTAAAGGCCCTTGCAGGCCCCAGGCCTCTGCAGCCTTACCTCCTCGATCCAGTCATTGAAAGCTGAGACTCGGGTGAACACCGTGGGCTTCTTCAGGGTGTTACAGCCCAAGGAAGAAACGAAGCTAGTCACACCGTGGACCTGCCAGGTGCCATTCTCAGTGGGACAGTTGAGGGGTCCTCCAGAGTCACCCTACAATGGCCAGATAGGGGTGGGAAACTGAGGTGTGTCTGAGGGTTAAGGAGTTGGCTCTGAACTTTAGGGACTTGGAGAAACCCTCACAGTATTTGATTTCTCTGGTTTAGAAAACGGTATGGATTAAATAGACAAACAGGATGTTTACCCAACACCCAGCAAAGGCGACACTGGAGAAATGGTACTACCTGTTATCAGTACACAGTTCGTTCTTTTTTTAAATTTTATTTTATGTGTATGAGTGTATTGCCTGCATGTATGTAAGTATGTCCATGTCATACATTTCCTGAAGAGGTCATTTGTTAGCTGCCTTGTAGGTTCTGAGAACTGATCCTGAGTCCTCTGGAAGAGCAGCCAGTACTCTTAACTGCTGAGTCATCTTTCCAGTCCCACAAGTACTAATTTTTGACAAAGATGCCAGTGTGGATATGGTGCAGGGGAACCCTTACACATTCTTGTTGGAGTATAAACTAGTGTAACCACTTTGGAAATCAGTCTGGAAATTTCTCA